ATAAGATGACCCCCTAACTTTGGAGACACTCCTCCAGGGTTCAAAAGTAATCTATGTCTTGGATAGGGTGGAAGGTTCTGCATAATTTTGATGTTCTGATAGCCTTTTAAAAATAAAATATGGGCCTGATTTTTTAAAAAGGAGGTAAAGCTTGGCTGTTTTTTTTAATCTGTTATTCTCTGGAGACAACCAAAAATGAACTATGTACATCTTCAACTTTTTTCAGATTGAAATGTTGGGTCTATTTTAGTATTTGTCTGGTTTTTGCTCTTGTCTCTTTCTTTGCCAGCTGTCCGCACTCCCCCACATAGACCTTTCCCCCTCCAACCACTTTGATCCATGCCATGGTGAGATCTCAGTTTGATTTGATGTAATAAACTCACTCCCCCCAAATATCTCATTTCAGCTGATGTCCGGTCATTGTCTCTTCCCGGAACGTACCATGAAAAGATAACTCATCTAGGAAATTCCCTGAAAAATTTTATTTTTCTGAAATCTCTTGATCTTTCACGCAATGCATTGACAACTTTGGAGGTAAGATACTGTGAGTTTTGAATGTGTCTATTGTATATTAGTTGTGTCTATGTATTATTATCAACTGCATTTCTATACAGTCCAGTAACTGAAGCTGTCTGCGTGACTCACAAAACAAGGATAAAGAGCACATATATAAACCAAATTCAGATAGCTGCAGAATAACATCACTAGTAGGAGACAACATCAGTGCAATGATCTATGTAGGGAACTAGACATAGGGAGTGTGACCCTGTTGGTTGTGCTGAACCTCTCAGCATTTTTCGATACCAGTGACCATGGTATCCTGGGCTGGTTCCCTTAGATGGGACTTGGAGGCACTGTTATACCATGGCTCTAGTCCAGGGGTAGGCAACCTTTCCCCTTTAAGGGCTGAGGGACTTCAGTTGCCAGAAGCCTCAGCCATGTTGGCCAATAGTCCCGTGTTGGCCAATAGCTCCTGGGATTCTGGGAGCTGAAGTCCCTCGGCCCTTAAAGGGGAAATGTTGCCTACCCCTGCTCTAGTCCTTCTTGCAGGGGCAGACTTAGAAGGCTGTGCTAGGGGATGCCTGTTCAGCACCTTGGCCACTGGGCTGTGGTGTTCATGAAAGCTCACTTCTGTCCTTCATGCTTTTTAATAATTACATGAAACTACTGGGAGATGTCATTTGGAGTTTTGGAGTTCAGTGTCTCCAGTATGCCGATGACACACAACTCTCTCTCTCCTTTCTATCCAAGTCCAAGGAACTAATACTACCTGCTATCAGTAATGGACAGAATGAAGGTGATCAACTGAAACTTAATCCAGACAAAACGGAAGTGCTCATTGTCAGTTGAAAGACAGATCAGGAAATAGGGATTCTGCCTGTGCTCTATGGAGTTTCATGTTCCCTGAAATCTCAGGTTCTTATTTTGGAGATACTGCTGGTCTTGGAACTGAGCGTGGATGTCCAGATTTTACGGTAGCCAGGAGTGCATTTGGACAGTTAAAATTAGTGCTCCAGCTGCACCCATTTCTAGAGACATGGGGCTAGCTTTGGAAACTGTTTAGAACAGAGTACGGCAAACTACGGCCTGTGGGCTGAACCCAGCCTGCCAAGGCCTTCAAACCGGCCCATGGCCAGTCCTCCCGCCACCGCCGCAGTGGTGGTGTGTGTGCTGTTGCTGCGCGCACGCAGGTCACCATTTTGCCTTCTGAAATGGCGCTCCTGCACGCATGCACAGGACGGCGGCTGCCATTTTGGAAGGCAAAATGGCGCCCCACGCTCACGCACACATACGCACCACGGCGGGCACCATTTTGGAAGGCAAAACGGCATCGCGAGCGCATGCGCACGATGCCAGTGCCATTTTGCCTTCCAAAATGGCCGACGCTGTCGTGCGCATGCATGCGTGAGCGTTGGAGCCATTTTGGAAAGCAAAATGGCACCCCACGCTCG